CTTATGTAAAAACGAATTCATGTCGGACGAAGACAAGCTCCTTGAGTGTCAACGATGTACCAATCATTTCTGCATAAAATGTCTGAAAAAATCAGTTGAGGAATATAACATTATGTCAAAAAGTGATGTCATGTGGTTTTGTGGTACATGCAGAGAAAAAGTCGAAAAGAACATAGTGGTGGATAGAGAGATAGAGGATAGGTGCAAGGAAATAATGAAAATATTTGAGTCAAGGATTGATAAACTTGAAAAGGAAGTGCAAAGCAAATGCAGTGAAAATGATGTCCGTGCAATCGTCAAGGATGAACTAAATAATAAAGTAGCGTCTGGAAATTCTGAAATCACATCGAATAACGATGAGGTACAGCCTAAAGAAAATGTTACAGCAGTCCTGCAGGAAATAAATGAGAGGAAAAGCCGGGAATATAACATGGTGGTATATGGAATTGAGGAGTGTGAGTCAGAATCTAGTGAGACACGACGGAACTTTGACTACGAGAAGTTGCAGGCTATAGGAAAGGGATGCAAAACAAATATTGACAATTCCGACATCAGGAAAGTGGTACGTTTAGGGAAAATTCAAAAAGGATAAGGCAAGTCGCCCAATGCTTGTTACCCTTACAACAACAAAAAAGAAGGTGGAACTTTTTAAAGGTGCAAAATTCTTGAAGGATCACTTGGAGTTTGCCAAGGTGAGAATTGCAAATGACTTGACAAGAGCTGAAAGGGAAAATTAGAAGAAACTGTATGAAAGGGCTAAAGAACTACAAGGGACACATTCGGGGGAATTCACCTTCCGAGTACGAGGACCACCCTGGGCGCGCAGAGTGGTAAAAGTTCGGGTAGAAGGAGAGTAGATATAGAAAAGAACAGTGAAGATAGTGTAAATAGTTTTAAGTTTGTGAATAGACTAACTTGCTTTTATACAAACGCCGATCAGTTCAGAAACAAATTCAATGAATTTCAAATCAGAATCCGAGATGTAAAACCGATGGTAATAGGGATTACCGAAGTAAAGGCGAAGAATGCTTCTTATCTACTAAATCCTTCCGAATTCAACATGGAATGGTCACAGGAATACAATATGTTCCACACAAACCTAGAAGGGGATATTGGTAGAGGAATTATACTCTATGTGCATGAATCACTTAAGGCGGAGGAAATAAAAGTTGATAGCAGATTTTGTGAGCACCTGTTCGTGAAATTGCGTACTAGTAGAAATGAGACCATGCTTATTGGAGTGATATACAGATCACCATCAGATAGTTCGGAAGAAACCGGTAGAACTTTAAGGAACTTGATCAGTGAAGTATCAAAGCTAAACTTTACCCACCATTTACTGATGGGAGATTTTAACTACCCTGGAATTAATTGGGAGATGATGACATCATCAAACATTCATTCAGAAGAGCAGAAGTTCCTTGAGTGCTTACAAAATAACTTTTTATTCCAAATGGTAAATAAACCAACGAGATGGAGGGGAACTAATACACCAAATGTGCTAGACCTGATAATAACCAAGGACCCGGACACAGTAGTAGATATGGAACTACAAAGTCCTCTCGGAAAAAGTGACCACTGTGTCATCATATTCAGCTATGTGTGCAGAGTGGATGTCAAGAAAACAAAGAAGAAGAGAAAAAGTTACAGCAAAGCTGACTATGTAGAACTAAAGGATGAAATTAAGCAGACAAATTGGAGGCATATTTTGGGGAATGGCTCTGAAAACATAGATGAAATATGGACAAAATTTCGTGGAAAGATGGAGGATCTAGAGAATAAGTATGTACCTACTTATGAAATTGGAAGGAAGAAAAACCAGCAAATTCCCTTGGATAAAGAAACTCTAAATGTCATTAAAGAGAAGAATGCCTTGGCACGCAAGTACCTGGTACACAAAGATCCAGATGTTAGAAGAAACTACAATCGTACTCGAAACGAAGCAGGGAAACTAGTAAGGAAGGCTAGGAAGAAATACGAAAAAAAATCTAGCAAAGGAAGCAAAGAGTAATCCAAAGAGAATATGGCAGTATATCAACTCAAAGAGTAAAAGCAGACAAGGGATTGCAGATTTATGCACCGACCCTAGAGATCCGAAATCAGAAAAAACGGATGATGATGAAACAAAAGCTAACATTTTAGCGGACTTTTTTAGTAGTGTTTTTACCAAAGAACCAGATGGTGAAGTACCACAACGTAAAGCCAGAAAAATCCAAATTCAATGGGAACAACGTTACATAAAGGAAGAAACTGTTAGGAAAATACTCAGAGAACTTAAGGTGGACAAATCTCCAGGATTAGACAATTATCATCCAAGGTTTTTGATGGAACTACATGAGGAGCTGTCGGTACCACTAACTATGATATTCAATAGATCATTGGAGGAAAGAAGGGTTCCAATGGAGTGGAAAAAAGCCAGAATAAGTGCTATTTACAAGAAAGGGAACAAGTCCTTAGCAGGAAATTATAGACCTGTGAGCCTCACATCAGTCGTGTTTAAAACAATGGAAAAGGTAATGCGGGATCAGATCACTGAACACTTCACAAGGAATGATCTATTTACAACAAGGCAGTATGGTTTCATGGGAGGGAGGTCAACCGCACTACAACTACTCAGAGTCTTAGATGAATGGACGGAGGCATTAGATCAGGGACACACCATAGATTGTATATATATGGACTATCAGAAAGCATTTGATACAGTTCCTCATAGACGTCTTATCAGCAAGCTGAAAGCATATGGAATAGGACTTGAAACAATTCAGTGGATCCAAGACTACCTAAGGGATAGAAAACAACAGGTTACAGTGAATGGGAGAAGTTCCGAGTGGCATGATGTAACATCCGGCATCCCACAAGGCTCCGTCTTAGGACCGATATTGTTTGTAATATTCATAAACGACCTACCAGAGATCGTCGAGTCAATGGTATACCTTTTCGCAGATGATTCAAAGATTTTTAACATTGTGAAAGAAAATGGAGATCAGGAAACACTGCAAAGAGATCTTGAAAAACTCCTCAGTGGAGCAACACTTGGTTGTTGAAATTCCATCCTGAAAAGTGTAAATATATGCATATAGGGAAAAAGTCTTCACAAGAGGTGTCATACAAGTTATTAGGAGAATCTTTAGAGCGTGTTCAGGAAGAAAAGGACATAAGAGTAATCATCGACGAAAATTTATCCTTTGAGAAACACATATGCGAGAAAGTAAAGAAAGCCAACTCGACATTTGCCATGATTAGAAGGATATTTCAACATTTAGATGAAAATACATTCATTCCGCTCTATAAATCTCTGGTTCGAACAAACTTGGACTATGCAAGCTCAGTCTGGTTCCCATACAAAACTAAATATATTGAGATGGTGGAGGGAGTGCAAAGAAGGGCAACAAAGCAGATACCTGGAATGTCAGATCTTACCTATTCTGAGAGACTGAAGAAACTCAAACTACCAACACTCAGCTATAGAAGACACAGAGGAGATATGATAGAGATATATAAAATTACGAGTGGAAAATATGACACAAAAGCAGCCAACTTTGTGAAATTTAGGAGAGATCATGTAGGGAGAGAAACTGCAAGGGGGAATTCCAAGCAACTATTAATCCAGAGAGCCAGATTAGATATCAGAAAATATAACTTCACCCTGAGAGCTGCTAAGATCTGGAACAGTCTACCAGAGGATGTTATAAGTGCGAAGACTACTAATTCTTTCAAGCAACGTTTGGATAAACACTGGGAAAACCAAGACATTTTATATGACTATAAGGCTGCAATATCCGGAAGTCACGCAGTGAGTTATACTAAAACTGAAGTAAGATATAGGGAGTCCAATGAAGAGGATCCTTAGGGAGCCTGAATTGGAAACCAACGATAAGTAACGATAAGTAAGTAAGAGTGTTTACGGTACTGTGCGTTCTTGAATATAGGGGGCGTCATCGCAACAAATGTGAAGGTCGTGTATGTTTACAAAAACAAAGCGGGTTAATATTGGAAGCGAATGGCTGGTGCGAGTGTTTCTTTTGTTTTACTCATGAATAGAATCAGATACCTGCTATTGCATGGAAATTCCTTTTCACATTGACGGCATCTTGACCTGTTGGGAATTTTATAAATCTTCCGGAAAATCTCACCAGTGCAGCCGCTACCCGTCGAATGCATCTACCCGCGGTGGACTTGGAGATGTGTATGGAGTCTCCTACAACCTGATGGAATGCCCCAGTTGCAACGAAACTCAAGAAAACTAGAACTTGAATAAGACTTGGCAGAGAGAGGGATCTTCTTGTTGGATGGCGAATGTAATTTTCAATCAAATCAACAATAAAGATGATCGTCGGTCGTCGAAAGCGGTATCTCTCATACAGTTCATCATCGTCCCTCATTTCCAGTGGATTAAATCTATCCCGAAATAAACGAGGACGAGGAAGACGCCTTCTATGAGGATTTTGTTGAAAATAATGGCGAATACGTCCAATAAGGTCAGCCATTTTGACAGAAATTAAGACCAATCTTAAAAATAAAGACTGCCCATTAGCAGTCTTAAAATTTAAGACAAAATTCCAATCTTAACTCTAAGACATTTTTTGTGATCCACTTTAAGATCAATCTTAAATTTTAAGTGCAAATTTTTGGAGTTAAGTCTGGCTTAAGATTTAAGACAGTTTCATGATCCCGGAGCCAGAACCTATTACTGGGTAAACAGGGGCAACGTAATGTACAATTTTGGAAATGGAACTCTTTAATACTCGTTATAACTATACATGTATTTTAACTATACATGTACTTAAAATGTACTTAGTTTGTTTGCATTCTATCAAGAAGCACTTTTACCATGCAAAATTTGGTTGATAATGGTTCAGTCAGTAATGGATAATTTGTTACTAATGGGACACACAACAACTGATGAAAAGAGAAGCAATAGGTCTAAAAAGAAATAACAATAAATTGACACTTGCATCCCTCAAGTGTCCATATTAATGAAATTATATTTCAATCCTTACCAATGCATAAGAGTCACCTTGAAGTTGGTCTTCTCCTCTGAATCGGATGGTGATAACCAGAAATTGCCGAGAAGTCGGGTATACCCCAGCAGTCGAGCCTTTATTGGCATTTACTCCACATTTTTCTCTTGTGTCACTAGCTGAAATGTATCATATTATTGAGAATCTCACAAATTTAAGAATTTTTTATAAGCTGTTATTTTTACAATTGTACTTTTTTTTTATAAAATGCATTTAAAGTTTCGATCAACAATGCATGAAAATGAAAAATGTTACGACAAATTTTGACCAAAAACAGGATATGTTTGTGAAACACTGATGCCCCCGTATGACAACTTAGCAAAGATGAAACTTTTCTTAAATGCAAATTTAATTAACAGGTACCAAAAATTGGATATTCTCACTGGAAAGCAATTGTGAAATTTGAAAGTATGAGGCCATTATTAATTTTTTTTAAATTAGTACAAAAATCTCCAAGGTCAAGGTCTAAAGGCTAAGTTACTTGGTATCCAATGAAAGATCTTGCCACATAGAATTACTTATGTAGAGTATGAAAGCCCTAACCCTAACCTTTCAGAAGTTATGGCAAAGGTTAATTTCTTTTTTAAAGTAGGTCAAACTCCATGGTCAAGGTCAAAGGGTCAAAGTTCTTGTTATCAAATAAAAGGTCTTGTCACAAGAATTAAATATGTAAAATATGAAAGCACTAGCCCTAACCATTTGAAAGTTGTGCTCAAGGCTTGTTTTTTAATGTAGGTCAAAGTCAAAGGTAAAGGTCAAAGGGTCAAAGTTCTGGGTATCCAATGAAGGGTCTTTTCACAAGGATTATATAAATGAAGTATGAAAGCCGTATCCCTTACCGTTCAAAAGTTATGGCCAAGGTTCAAGTTTTTTACAGGTACAGAAATCTACAAGGCAAGATCAAAGGGTCAAAGTTGTTGGTATCCAATGAAAGGTCTTTCAATAAAAAATACACATGAGAAGTATAAATGTCCTGGTGTCTACTGTTCAAAAGATATGGCCAAAGTAAAAGTTAAAAATTTTCATGTAAAAGTGGGTTAAACTCCAAGGTCAAGAGGTTAAATTTGGTGGTACCAAAAGAAAGGTCTTGTCAGAAGAAATACACATGTGAAATATGAAAGTCATGGCTCAAATAAATCAAAAGTTATGGGCAAAGTTTAAGTTTTTGCAGACAAACAGACAGACAGAGAGACAGACAGACGGATGGACATGAGAAAAACTATATACCCTGAAACTTTGTTTACAAGGGCATAAAAAGGGCTAACTTAAGCTTCTGGCTTAGATGAGAAAAATTCAATGAAATATTCCCAGCTTAGTCATAATTGTTAAAATTTTAAACAAGAGGCCCTGGGGTCACATCGCTCACCTGACCATATCAGCTAGGAAAACACACAAATCAGATCAGAATTGGAAAAAATCTGGTGTTGGGTCAACGAAGAAATTTGACACCCCATCATTTCAATCCCTACCCCAAAGGGTACTCATGATTTGAACAAATTATATCTTCAATACATGAGGGTTGCTTACATATCAATATGACTGTGAACATAGCTTTTCTGTTCCTGAGATTTTTCCCTTAATTATCCTATGTAAAAATTTGATCCACCATTGAGATCTTTACCTACCATTGGAGGTTATGATTTAAACAAATTTAATTTTACACTACCTGAGGATGATTCCATATGAGTTTAATCTTTCCTGTCCCTGATAATATGGATCTTGAGAATTGAGATTTTTAAAAATACAAGAGGCCCATGGGCCTTATAGGTCACCTGAGTATCATGCGACAACTTTCCAACAATTGAATTTGATTCATGTTTTAAACTAGAGGCCATGAAATTCACAATTTTGAAAGAGGCACCATTTCTTATCATAATTATACACTCAGCATGCTTATTTTGGTTACTTAAAACTCAGAGGTAGATCAGAGTAACAAAGGGAAAATGCATTTCCACTTTTAGTGAATTTCAGGGACCCTGGGTCAGGGCTTCTTCTGTTAGGGTGGGTCCATAGTTGAGCTCCCCCATCCCACAGGAACCACTGACACTGGGGCCACATCTTTCAAACTTTTGAATTTTTTAAAAATTTTATTTCATCATGCTGTTGATTAATACCAAAGTGCAGACTTCAAAGCATTAATTTATTTTAGACTACGTTACCCCCCCCCCCCTCCCCCAAAGTACATCTGTCTCAGGGGACAGGAAATTAACCATTTTTGGCAGAAGCAGGTTTTTTTTCATAAATTTATACTAAGATCATTGGCATTATGCCCATTAACAAAGGAAAAGATTTCAAAAGAATTCAAGCATTTTCACTATATAAACATTAGAGCCACCCCCCCCCCCCCCGGGCCCCCACCCCCCAGCACAAGAATCTCTAACCCAGGGACCCTGAAATTCAATAATCTCAAAGAGACATTCTTCCTCCTCATAATTATGTACAAATGTTCATTGGTTAAATACTCAGGTGCAGAAAACAAGAGTTTTAAAGAATTATGCATTTTCACTATATATTCAATAAAGCCAGGGTTCGACACTAATTTTTTTACCTTGGTGGACCGCAGGTCCACTTGTGAAAAATTATTGGTGGACCTTCTCAATATCTGGTGGACCTTTATAAATGTTTGAATGAATGAATGAATTATTACACAAGGCATTAATTAAAACTAACTTTAATATATACTGATTCCAGTCAGAATAATAAAGCATAAATCTAACCAGCCAACAGAATCAAATCGATTAGGGACTAGTCATTTTTTTCAGAAATATTGTAAAACTTAAAAAAAAAATGTATTAATTAATCTACAAACCATAAAAATATTTTAATAATTATCATTAAGTTACAATGGTGAAACCTGCATTTATTTCGTTTCCAAAGGTAGATTTGATTCAAAATTACAATTATTAATTAATACGTTCAAATATTAAATAACTGAGCTTTTCATGTATCTACATGATCTATGGCTAGATCATATTTTTACAACGTTGCAAAACTGATATAGGTACATGTATGTGTATAAATTAATTATTTTCTAAATTTATTATTTATTCAAATAAGTAGTGATATTATGTATATCAAGAAAAAAAAATGAAACTGTGGATAATAATTCATAAAATGTAAATTATGCCTCTTTGAACATCTATAAAAACACACACACAAAAAACAATGCATAAATGCAGATGTCAATCAATTCTAATACGTTATATCGCGATTACCTCGTAGTTATCTAACTTACTACCGCTCTTTTGCGGGGGAGTCGAGAAAGCTCAAATCTCACGAGATTACTGGGGCACATGGCATTGTTTACAGTAGTGACATTCGAATGATTTGAACATTTTATGCCGAAAGAACAATGCATTGCCAAGAATTGAATTCAAAATAGTAGATTGTCAATTAAGGAAAGTTTAGATTATTTTATCAGCTTTTAAATGCGACGACTTTCAATGAAAATTTAATGAAAAGAGCCCCCTGAGTTATAAATATCGTTAAAAATGTAACATTTTAGAATTAGCTCCTCTCAAAAATTAATTAGGCTGGTTCAGCGATTGTTAAGCAAGGTATTCCACCAAGATTTTTTAATTATCTGTACTTATAAATTCTAAAATGATCGATCTTGCATTGTATTCAATAGCACATTTGTCCCCAGCCAACAGACGTTTCCTACCTCCATCGCGAAAGAGTTCCGCTAAGTTAAGTAATCGCAATATCAAGTATTATCTCCAACTATGTGCGTTCAGGCGTGAAGCGATTTCCTGTTACCCAGTGTAATTTTCACACCTTTCTGTGCATTACGTAAACAGAGGAGAGACTGGCTATTGGCATGTATTTTTCATGCTTCTTATTCAAGGTCCGTGTTGATTGTTCTTTCGTCTCAATATTATTGTTAATATTGGAGTTTTCAATTTTACATGTAAAATATATCGAGTTGCTAGGTCCCCCTGATTACCTAAAACATTATTACGTATGTAAAATACAGGTATGGAGGAATTAATAATTTGAGTTAGGGATGAATTTCGATTTAAAGAAAAGAAACCTGGAATTTCACTGTTTTTTTTAATACGGTGTTCAAATTTTAAGTGGACCAAAGGTCCACCCAGTCCAGAACATTTGGTGGACCTTCCAATTTTTTGGTGGACTCGGCCCGCCGGTCCACCGTTAGTGTCGAATCCTGAAAGCCCCGCCCTAACACCAGAACCCCCAACCCAGGGGCCATGAAATTCACAATTTTGGAAGAGGGAGCCTTATTCAACATAACTTTGTACTAGGTTAGTTTATTTAATACTCAGGAGCAAAGAAGAAGATTTTCAAAGAAATAATTCATTTTTTGCCATATAATCTATATAGCCCCGCCCTAGATCTAGAATCCCTGACCCTGGGGCCATGAAATTCACAATTTTGAAATAGGCAGCCTTATTCAACATAGCCATGCACTTGGTTGGTTTATTTAATGCCCAAGAACAGAAAAGAAGAATTTCAAAGAATTTTTTGCATTTTCACTATATAATCTATATATATAGCCCCACCCTACTTCTAGAACCCCTGACCCTGGGGCCATTAAATTCACAATTTGAGAAGACCCAGTCTTATTCAACATAACTATGCACTTGGTTAGTTTATTTTAATTGCCCACAAACAGAAAAGGAGAATTTAAAAAGAATTTACGCATTTTTACTATATAATCTATATAGCCCCGCCCTAGCACTAGAACCCCTGACCCTGGGGCCATGAAATTCACAATTTTGTAGAAGGCGGTCATTTTCAACTTACCTATGCATTTGGTTAGTTTTTCTTATGCCCACAAACAGAAAAGAAGAATTTCTAAGAAATAATGCATTTTCACTATATAACCTGTTAAGCCCCGCCCTAGCACTAGAACCCCTGACCCTGGGGCCATGAATTTCACAATTTTGGTAGAGGACTCAATGCTAATTACAATCATACCAACAGTTTAACTGCTTGATGTCCAGGAGTAAAGAAGAAGATTTTTAAAGATTGCCCTAATTTAAGTGGTTTTTGCCCCAACCCCCCAGGCCCCAGGGGGGGCAGGGACCATGAAATTCACAATTTTTGTTCCCCTTCACCCATAGATGCTATATGCCTTCATTTGAACAAACTTGAATCCCCTTCGCCTAAAGAGGTTCTTGGGAAGTTGAAAAGGTGAAAAGTAAATGACAATAATGACGACGACAGACAAATTTTGATCAGAAAAGCTCACTTGAGCCTTCGGCTCAGGTGAGCTAACAAAAAACATTATAAAATACTTACATGTACCGGTACTTTTGACAATCAGGAAGATTTGGGAGTTACGACTACCTTGGTACTTGAATTTGATCCTTGTGATGATAATTAACTGTGCCTACAGAGAAACTCAGAAATGTCAGATAGTGTCTGTAGGTTCAATAACATTTAGTTCATTATCTCTTGTCACTTTATTTAAAACATGTATTCTATAAATTAACAAAGATTATATACATGTATTTACATTAAAGAAATGCAAGATAAGCAAAAATAAGCTGAATGGTTAAGATTTTGCTACATGTATACAAAATTGTTATACATGTAATAACAAACAATGTATACCTCAGGCTCTGCAAAAAATATTTCTCTCTTAGATTCTTTTTTTACCTGTTTACATGTATCATATTTATAATCTTTGAGAAGCTATCAGTGTGGTACAATGGAGTGCCATGCATAGATCTGCTTATTACCAGCAAATTATACCTGTGATTATAGAAAACAACATTTAATAAATATTTTCGAAACTTAAATAAATATTTTGTAAATATATGTACAGTACAAATCATTTTAGGGAATTGACTAGGACTTTCTGTCTTGCAATCTAGATGTTAGTAAGCCTCTTTATATCTGCATATATGGGGGGGGGGGGTATTATAATAATGTACATTTTACACGTGCATGTAGTTAAATAACTTAATACGATACCGGGTGGAGTATGGTTTTTAAAGGAGGAGATTGATTAAACTAGAAAAAAGTATTTGTATGGATTACCTGAAAAGTTTTTGAATAAGAAAGAAAAATATTGATCTCAGAACCCGAGAATCCTATTTTGTAAGGGGGTCATTTTGTATTCACGACCAAATTTCTTTATACATTACATTAGCTTTTTACTGAACATTTTCTATGGTAAAAACACAAACAAACAAAAATTTGGAACTTTCTTCTTATTCTTTATTTTTTTTTTTTGCAAATCCAAAGGGAGAGTTGCAACCCCCGCAGTTAGAGTAATCTGTGTCTCGGGACAAGCTCTCACCGGGTCCGTAGGACATTAATTTTATCATTTTAACGATAGCCTCGAACATTCTATCTACAACCCCCCACCCCCCACCACCCCCACCCCCTTTGGATTCGCCACTATGTGACAGTGTGTTATTTGATTGCTGCAGTTTAATTTTATATACCAGATCCCGGTGCAACAGGAATTAAAAACAAACCAAAACATAAGGCCTACCCTCGTTCAATAGGCCTTTTCAATAATATTGGAAGAAAAGCAGAGAACCTGTATCAAGCCCATCTTTCATTTTCAACTCATAACGTTACCATAGATAATGTTAGATCCACTTGAATCTGTTATTAAGGCGACAAATATTCCCAAATACAGTTATTACATCTATCTGGTATAAAAAAAAGATGAGACTCTTACAAACTTACAGAAAATATGGAGTTGAAAACATTCTGCTCTTTCTTTCTTTCTGCTTTCTAAGCCGCATGATGACGTAATTTGTGACGTACGGCATTCCATAAAAAATAGCTTTGGTTCCATAAAGTAAATTTATATCACGTAGTCATCAACATTCATCTTTGAAGCGGAGATACATTTTCAAGATAAAAATTTGAACTACGAAAATTATAAAAATTAAGGTATTTCCCGATTTTTAGATGAATACGAAACTGAATAGCCAGGTTCCATTTGCACTTCCTGTTACAGAAAAAAAAACCCGAGTCAATGAGAGTTCCCTTCTATGGTTTGTTCCAGACTTTCCTTCTGACTGATTGTGATCTAATTCCTTAAAACAATGGTAAATATGTATGCTTTGTTAATTGTTTGTCATATTTTGTGTTTATAATGCACATTTTTATTGATAATTCAACTTGCAACGAAATATTTCGGAGTAAATTCGGATTACGTTCTCATTTCAGGTTCTACGTAACGCAGCCAGGTGATCGAATGGTCTTTTTATGCTTAGTTAAATCTATTTAAAGGTTTACTAAATTTTAAGTAAGTAATAATATGTTTTACGGTGTGACCGTTGGGGCGAGCGCAGTTTATTTACTATCATAAACCTACACATGTACTGTCTATCATTCAAGAAAAAGAAAGCAAAAAGAATAAAACAAAACAATAAAAAGAAATCATTTCCCAAGCATCGGGATCGAGTTCCAAACTTCTCGGAAGTTTCCGACAAAATCGGAAATACCCGAACCGTTGAAGTGACGAAAGTATGACGTCAGATAAAAAGTTCTGTTGACTTAGGACGCAAACGCTAGTTTTATGGAAAAGATATTGCATTAAATCGTTCTTTTCAAGTTGTTCTTTTCAAATTGTTGCTATGTTTTAGCCACCATGTTGCTATGCACCGCAACATGTTTTCCGAGTTTCACGGAAGCAACCGACATAACTTCGTCAAAATGCGTAAGTTTCCAGTGACGTCATTTGTATCATTTCCGAAGGGCAAGGTGAAGGCCGGTGTTGTGGCATGGGGGTATTTTTTTGAATAAGGTAAGACTGCGGAACATTAACTGGCAAAGTTGGAAATACATGTATACAGTTTACGTCATTTCTATCTGTTACAATCAAAACATTCAGTGATAGACAGCGTAATGGGCGGGTACAGTTCGACGCGGACGTTTGGAAAACATTGGATTGAAAATGCAGATCGAAATTCAGTTTCAATCCACCTCAGCTTCGCTACAATTCGACGCGGACGTGTGGAAAACATCGAATTGAAATTGCAGATCGAAATTCATTTTCAATCCACCCCAGCTACGCTAAAAGGCACATTATTGATTGAACCAGAAGAGAGTAAAATTTCAATTTTGGTACAGTTTGAATTTTTTTGTCCAGTGTTTTAAAAAAAATATTAAGAGACAAATATTTTATTTCTGTTTGGTAAATATATGTTTGTGTTAGGGGAGGGGGGCTTAACAATTTTTAATAAAGTTGTCCAACATTTTTCAGTGAGAATAAGTATAAAACTAATGCACTCTTATAACCCTAGAAATAAAATCTGTTGTCATATGACATGTAAGTCATGACCTGACTCGACATTTTTTTACCCCCCCCCCCACCCCCCCTCATCTAGAATCAAATATCTCCTGAAAAATAATCTTTGTCTTCTATGATCTTTTGCGTCCCTAAAATTATAAGCTAAAACTCGTATTAATGTGAACTTCAAACAATATGTATTCGGGAGTTGAAATTAGTTGATTTTTGGATCATATATTCACTCTTAGCTTTGAAAACAGTTCAGGTGGATTCGATCTGCAATTTCAATTCGATGTTTTCCACACGTCCGCGTCGAATTGTAGTGTAGCTGAGGTGGATTGAAACTGAATTTCGATCTGCAATTTCAATCCGATGTTTTCCAAACGTCCGCGTCGAATTGTACCCGCCCATTACGCTGTCTATCACTGAATGTTTTGATTGTAACAGATAGAAATGACGTAAGCTGTATATTTCCAATTTTGCCAGTTAATGTTCCGCGGTCTTAAGGCAAAATCATTTCGTTAAGATTTCGGTAAGAAACAATGTTCCTTTAATTTTTCATACTATTTTTGATTTATTCGCGCAAAGGACATTGGGTAGTGCAGGAATTCTGGGAATGTTGCACAGAGAAATTTGGCTGACGTATATACAGATTTCAATCCGAATTTCCTCTGTTCATACACGTTAGTCTATTGAGCTCGCTTCGCGACGCTCGCTGCGCTCGCTATAAAGTTTTTTTTTATTTTAACTAACTGTCATTACAAGTCTCTACACAAATACACAGACTGTGTGTTTTGTTCTGACACATATGTAGAGACTTGTAACCACCTGAACACAGCTTCAATAGACTAAGTGTATCCTACAAAATAATTTAGACATAAGATGATAAGTCCAACAAAAGGTTCCATCTTCTAGGGGATTAATTTGAGGTCCATGCAAAAAATTTAACTATTGCATTTGATTTATTCACAATTTAGGTATTCTAATTATTTCGTGCAGATTAAAAAAATCAATCTTTTCAGTATTGTACTGCTGTATGTAATTTATTAAAAATTCATCAATGACATGTTTATTGTCATCCAATAGGAATATCACAATTAAAATGAAACATTTTATCTCATTTGGTTCAATAGCAGCCTGATATCAGGATATATAGAGTAGGTCAATAAGACACTGTATGTGTTAGAGTCTATTATGCAGTTATGAATGTGCTTAACACATATGGTATTTTGTTTCGCTCTAAACATATATATACCATTTATAACATACTCAGCTATACAAGTTGCCAAAACATGGACTTTTCAAGTGATATAATTGAATTCATTGTATTTAATGTCATCTAATTTAGGAATTGGTCCCTTTGACCTAAACAATTGAAATATTAGTACGGGTAATAGTATTTTATAATAATCAAAATTTCTTTGTAGGAAACGCTTGTCAGGACACAAGACTGAAAAAGACGTACTGAAAAACTGCCTGTAAACACAGCTATCATTAAAGTCAATGGATTACTTAGGAATATCCAAGCAATATGATATCAGAGACTGGCAATTTTTATCACTCAATGTGACAGAAAAACCTAAATAAATATTGAAATGTTCAATTTCTTTGTTCATTGCTTTTTTCTCTTGTATGTGAATATCGCATGATATCTTTGCGAATTTCGCACGATTTTTACATGAAAAACTGATAATTTGAAATTCGCATGAATATCATGCGAAATTTCAGTCACATGAAAATCACATGAATTTCGCATAAATATTGTATGAGGACTTTCGCATGACGTTCGCATGTGTAACTTTTCGCATGTTTTTTATGTGATTTTTGCACGAAATTCATGCAAAAAGGCAATCGCATGAAAATCATGCGAGCCACTTTTCTCTGTGTATGTTACCTCTCAACTCGATCATTAATCTTTTGTATTTAATTTATTTCACTATAAGAATAAGTCAAACTGTAACATAAATTATTGATAAATTCTACAATTATAATTACTGCATATACGAAAAGAGCTGGATATATAATTAATTGTTTTATTATTCATGATCTCTTTTTATGTTCCACTATATTTTATCATATTTGAATCCAAAAGCACATTAAAATGTCACTTCCAGAGTTTAAAATAACTTTGAATAGAATATTAATAAATTTCTATAAAAACACATGTCGAAAAAAGACAGAAAATACAAAAAGATGGTAAATCCTTTATAATTACCTTCACCTGCCTAAGACTTTTTATTGATCCCTTTCTAAATATTTAAACAAACAATCAACAAAGATCAGTCATAACATGGTAACGAATATCAGCTCACAGGCTTGTAATTGAAACTGGACGGTATAAAAAAAAAATTTAAAAATATAAGATGAACGAATTTGTTCACTTTGTACAGTCGTTTGGGCATGCTGTTCCAGATTTTGATAAGTTCCAAATAATTATTGATTTTAGAGCCGATAATTTATTAAATCAAAAGTGTATACATAAATTGATACCTATGGTATGAAGACTTATTAATGAGTGTTGTGAAGCTTTGATTTTTTGCCGTCAGTTTGTGTATGGTGTAGTATTCGAAGTAGTCCACATACTTTTACAATAAATGCAACACATCTAAATCATCACGACGCGTATGTCTGCAGAAAAACTTCTGTAAATACGTCATTTTTTTTTTTTACATAAACCAACATTCCAGGTACCGTAAGTAAAATCGATATGTATTTTAAAAAACACCAAAAATAAATCATTAGAACACTGGAAGACATCGGAATATTTTCGTGTAGTCATTTTACTAGTTCCAGATACCCATAATAAACACAACAATATGTTCGTTATCTGTAGTTTTCTTCAATGTAAACGTGACTGTTATTATACCGACGCTTGTAAAGCAAGTGGTATAAAGTGTTGGAGGTGTCCGTCCGTCCGTTTAGCTGTATGTCCATCCGTCTGTCTCTCCATACGTTCGTCTGTTACGCATTGGGGTACCAATCTCTTAAACGCAACTCCTCTTATACTCTATATAAGAGGATATAAGATATATATACTATATATATAAGATATACTTATATCTTATTAATGATAACAATTTAATGATACCTTCAGAGATTCTTTATAACACACTATTATTGTGCACCTCTCATTTAACTGTTTGATCTCATACTTAATTCGGATTTCCAGAGTAAAACATGGACTGTGCCAATATAATCATATGGGAGGCGTGAGATATCATGAAACATATGGAGATAATGAACAATATTCAAGATCAAAAGTCCATATAACAATACAAAACAGGAACAGGGCAAACACGGACCTCCAAAACATCAGAGGTTGGATCAGGTGCCATGGAGGAGTGAGCATCCCCTGCCGATCGGTCACATCTGCCGTGTGCTCCGTGTCATGATCGGGAAATAACGGAAAAATCCGTCTTCAATTCAGTGTATAAAATATGGACTAACAATTAGTATGAAAAACGTCAGTCAGCATTGGACTTAATGATAAATTGTATTTGCTGACAAGGTCATTGTATCGACCACAGAACTTACGAAATGACTTTGAACGAGACTGCTGATATTCTTGTTTCATCAACTTGTTTCGCAGGGGGAATAAGGAAGCATTCAAAATATTCTACCTTGACTAAATCAGTGCTACATTATGACGTCATAGTAGTAAGCTGTATATTTCAAAACATAAGATTTGTACAGAAGGAAAGTTTGCTTCCTAAAATACTTGGAAAGTGCTGCTAGAATCCCGATTTAAGCATTGTTTTACCAAAAATCTCTGTTCATAATATAAAAAATATTCAAAACATTGGGTAAGGTTTCGTGCGAAAGTGTGGAATAATTATTTTACTGACGGGACAGTGGGATTCTAGCAACACTTCTAAGGCAAAATAGTTGTTTTTAACTACATTATTTACTAGAAAAAATTATTAAACTCCGGAGAATTGTTGTTCTGTTAGCTTTTTTTTATTAAGGAAATTTTCGCTATTAATAGAAGTCCCGTGATGCCATGGTGGTGGTGCACGTCGTTGCGTTCGACTCTTTTATCTTAATGCAATAGATAATAATAGTTTACGTTTATTAGTGGTTTTGGTAAATTATCAAACTTTATTTTTTTTTAAAGTCATAATTTCCCGAAAAACAACTTACCGTATAATCCCTATTAACCACCCTGGGCGCTTAGAAAATTGCAAAAAGGGGCGGTTATTTTGGTGTTCTCTTTATAATATTTAATGTCATTTTTTTAACTTAAAAAAATTCAAAGAACCACTAAAATAATGTTGAACTATACTTTAAGTGAAGATAATCCACCAAAATTATGCTTAATGATTAATTTTCAACCGAGAAATTGGATAATAGACAAGTTTCATTTTGAATTTCTTCAAATTTTGGCAGACTTTTGATATGATTCAAGATGATTTTAATCACTGTACAGGGGGCCCTTATTTTCTGATGATAGAAAAAAGACCTTGGGGGCGCTTATAGGTGCAGATGCAGTTAATAGGGTTTATATGGTATATGCTTCCTTAACATACCCGCGTTGTCAATAATTTACCTCGTTTTAGAAATTGTTCATACGTAGAGCATGCTCTTGTGTATCGAATCAACTGAGATATATACACTCCGTATTCCCAGAACCGTGTTTTATCCCCTGTTCACAGATTTGTGTTGTTTGTAAATTTATTTTAGGTCGATCTCTGTTCATTTTTTTTACTTTTTGTTCCTGTAATAGTATGCTTGGAAATTAATTTGAATTTCACTCGACCAGTACTTCTCTACTCTGACATATTCCAGCCTTACTTAGAACATATAATACAGATATTAACCTTCAGGTGTATATCTCAAATTTGTGTTCATACACTGTTACACTAATCTATTTTTTATTCAGTAAAACTTATTAGCTTCATGCTGAATGGTCTACTGGAATATGGTTTCCATCGTACAAGCAATGGTGCGGGATTTTTTTAAACGAACATATCGGAATATTTGAGATGCTATGCTTAGAAAATAAATATGTCGATAGGGTCGTTAATTTGGATATCTTCTGATGTATAAAGACTCCCTAATAAGCGCTTGCGCATGCTCGTGCTACTTTAAAGGGAATATTTTTCAGTGACCGTATAATGAAAGGAGACGAAAGCACATCTTTTTGGACTTGGCTAGATAATCAAGTTGTCTATCACGCTGTTCCTGCACTGCTAAGAGAAAGTTGAGAGTTCAAGGCATATGTATAAAAATGCATGACTGTGAGGCAACGGTATTTTTGATTATTAAATTTACTGTGTGACACTGAGAAAGGATGTCAGAAGTAAATTAGTGAAATACTGACCTGCAGTTCCATTGTAACCGGATACAGTGAGAATGTATTTATCAGCCTCGTTTCCGATATAAAACGTGGAATATTCAGCATATGCTGTGTCCCCATTAAATCTCTGGAGATCTACTCGCAGTTCCTGGTCCTGATCTTTGGTCAAAGCATGGATTGCATCATTCCCTTTGTGATAGATATGATGAAATCAAAAGATAACTGATTAAAATTATTTATATTACGATCAGATTTAAAGTAATAAAAAAAGATTGACCTCTGCAAAATCACCAATATTAATCAAAGAAATGATTTCATATTAAATAAGAAATACTTTATGGGACTATAGAAATATTGATTAAAAATATAAATATGCTTAAGCTTGTTAATTTTACTTATACGTGTATGGCTTATTCCCCGAATGGCTACTAGGAAAAAACAACAAGTAATTATCACACTCAATTAAGGGGCCCTCTAAGGGGTACAGGTAGACTTACCTGTATGAATAATCTACCAGAATACAAATAAAATAAAATCGATTTTTAATTCATTTTTTTTTTATTTGAGCACTAGTATGAATAAATATTTTGTACACATATTTTTAAATAAAAATTTTACAAGCATATCTAAATATATTAAAACATTAACATATTAAAAACTATAAATTATCTTGAAGTTCTATTGTTTAGCAGCACTGATTTTCACATTATAAATTAAATAGCACTGTTTCACTTTCATATCACACATATTTACAATATTTACAAGTCATTTAGTTTTCAGGTTTCATCACAACTAAGGATCACTATCCAAGGTGAAGAAGTTCAGAAGCAGAGTCTGTATAGGTCATAAGATCAATGATGCCATGCTGATACCTTTCTTTCAGTAACTGCAATCTTCTCTTGATAGTTGCATACTTTTTCGCTGGAGGTCTGATGCTTCCGCCGGCTTCCCTCTGAATCTTTTGGATCTCTTTGGCATTCTGTATGTCTCTGAACATTTTCACCACGACGAAGATGTTGGGATGTGCATGCTGTGCCATTCTCTTGAGTTTTCCATGCCATCCTTCCAGGCTGTTGTTGGTCCGTGGTCCCTCCGTTCCGAAATGATTCCACAGAAGTCTGTCATCATTCACCCACTGTTCTGTCACATAGTCCGTAAATGATTCTGTAGCTTGTGTGAGGTCAGCTTCGTCTCTGTCTTCTAGGGATCTGAACCAAACGTCTTCAATACAGTCAAGGGGAACTAGGGGGAGAACTGCTGCTCGTCTAACTAAAGTCTTTACGTTGTCGTCATCTTTGTAGGGAATCTGTAGTCCTGTCTGTTGAGCTTTTCTCCAAATAGCTTGGGTGAAGTGGAAAAAACAACCCTTGGTTGTTACGCCCGGAAACACTTCTCTGATGGAGTTGTGGACTACTGTCTCGAAGTCAGCTAGAGCACAGGTGGGTAAAAACTGTAGGCCAAGGTCGTTCATTTTGTCTTGAAGAAGGGTGAAGAATCTTGTATAGATGACTTGACTCTTTCCTGGTAGCAGAGCATACACAACAGGTGTCATCACATCATCACTCAGAATATGGATGGTGTAGATCTGGTGGAATGGGCTGGGGCAGGTGTAGAATGTCCCGTCACAGAAAAAGGTTTCTGAAGCTACCAAGTCTCGTAGATTGTCCGTTGTTGCGAATGCTAGGATCCTACTGTTGTGAACGGTGTCGTCTAGGAGAAGGAAGTTGTCCCCTGTCTCTGTTTCTGTCCATTTCCCTTCAAGTCGGATGTCAGCAGCTGTATTTGGAAGTGGCGGAGTCTGTTTCCGGCGAGCTCTGTAAAGTGATGACTTGGCCGTGTTGAACGTTGGCAATCTCTCGATGACTTCTCTGCTGGTGTCATCCCACTCGTTGTCTCGCAGCCTGTTGAGTTCTTCTGTGAAGATGGACGGTTTTGGTTTATACTTCTTCTGTGCATCGCCTTGAAATCTGGTTCATGATCTGTTTGGCAACAACCTCGGTGTGATCTGCAGGATGGGCGTGGAGCTGTCTGTGACAGGAACGTTGTTTTCTGTGGAGAGGCCAGCTGAACATCCTGCTTCAACACATCTCCAGAACAGCTAGGTGTCTGTTCTTCGATGAATTCTGTAGGTGAAACCTTGAAAGGATAAGTTTTGGCCGCCTCTTCTGTTTGTGATGAATTTCACGTTGAGCTGTGCATTCGCCATTGTTGATGGGTGAAGAATGATGTGTCTTCATTTCCATCCTTGGATATATACTATTTTGAAGCTTGTGTTGTTCTTGTATTTACAGCTTGGACTGCATCATTAAGCTAGTTCAGCACTTCATTTCCATCCTTGTACACCGGTATATACTGTTCTGTAGCTTGTGTTGTTCTTGTATTTACAGCTTGGACTGCATCATTAGGAAGAACAGTTCAGAACATCATTTTCTTTGACACTTATTAAGATAGTTTTGCTTATTAAAATTTCAAAGTGAACTGATATCAATTATCAGGTGCTTCATTAATTAGCTTCTTAACTTGGGAATTCCTTAAAAATCAAAGTGATCTGTTTTTATCTCGAATCGTCTATATTTATTATAAAAATTGAAACATATACTTCTGTATTTTATAATGATTTAAAAGAATGTTTTCATAATTAAAAATGATAAATAAAGGAATTAAATTAGACAAAATTTTATAGAAACAATTTATTTATCATACATAAATATGTTATTTTATGTGTTAATTTAATATTTAAGAATTTGAAAATGTAGCACAAAAAGGTGTAAATTCTCAATCAATACTATTGAATAGTTTGGGGAAAATAATTAAATTAAAATTTTTTTTTTCTGAAATGTTAATTTTATCTATTTATATTTATCTATTTATTTATTTATGCAGTATATTTCTGAAAAACAACTCTGAATTAAAATAAAATTGAATGAATATATCTGATTTTTAAATATTGTAAATATCCAGGTAAACACAGGTAAATCTACCTGTACCCCTTAGAGGGCCCCTTAATTGAGTGTGATAATTACTTGTTGTTTTTGTCCAGTAGCCATTCGGGGAACACACCACGTGTATAAACATGATTAAGACGTTTTTAAATAAAAAAAAAACAAAGAAAAAATATATTGTTTTAAATATAGCACTATGAATACGAGGGGGGGGGGGTCAAAAAACTGTATATACGAGGGTTGATCAAAAAGTTCGCGAACTAATTGAATTACTTCAATAGAAGAAATAAAATTAGGTATAAATGTTCATTATTTTTTTAAACGTAGTCCTCTCCGATATTAATGCGCATTTGCCACCGTTCTGTCTATGCGCAAATCACGTGATCTAGACGGTCACGTGACATGATCCGTAGCGTTTCTGTTCATAGAAGCTAAAAAAAATTTCCGAGTCTTATATTTCTTACCATGCAAGTTATTTTTTTTATAACGAGAACGTTCCATTTGTCAGAAATGACCAAATCTCTGCAATAGGATGGGTGGATAAGAATATCCTTTCTAAGAATGACTATGGGGACCATCACCCTACTTCTCTGTCTTGGGAGCGTCGTTTTTCGAGTTTTGATAAAGTTTGGCGCTTAATTTTTATCAAATCTGATAAGTCTAAAGTAAACAATATTTTAAGGAATTAATAATTTTATTATAGTAAAGATGTTCAACTATTTTTTTTAACTTTAACTTGGGGTCTTTCGTAACAAATCGCGCATCTAAGGACACATTTCTTCCCCAGCTTGCTTTCGTTGGGCAACATATTTAACCATCTCCCTTCCTTCACTAAAACAATCAACAAAGTTAAAAAAATCTTCTTTTAGCATATTGATCACAGTCAACGTCACAAGGTCATTGACCATGGTGTCATTCGAAAGAACTTAATCAGTGGAGTATGCGTACTAAATATGAAGTCCCTATCTCCTATGGTTCAAAAGTTGTGGCAAAAAGTGTAAAGAGCTATTTTTAGCATATCCGTCACAGTCAAGGTCACAAGATCATTGACCTTGCCGTCGTTTGAAAGGACTTTATCGGTGGAGTATGCATACAAAATATGAAGTCCCTATCTCCTATGGTTCAAAAGTTATGACAAACAGTGAAAAAAGCTATTTTTAGAATATAGGTCACAGTCAAGGTCACAAAGTCAATGACCATGGTGTCATTTGAAAGAACTTAATCGGTGAAGTATGCATACCAAATATGAAGTCCTTATCTCTGATGGTTCAAAAGTTATGGCAAAAAGTGTAAAAAGCTATTTTTAGCATTTGACCCCCTGGGGCAAAATCAAAATTCCGAAAGCTTACTGCACATCTACATGACCCCACCAACCATCTCTCAAAAGCTGGTTAGGCTACTGAGTAAAATGTAGAAGGAGTTTAGGGAAGACGGGGCTTTTTGGACAAAAAACGTCATTTTTCGAACCCCATTTGACCCCCCGGGGCAAAATCAAAATTCCAAAACCTTACTGCACATCTACATGACCCCACCAACCATCTCCCAAAAGATGATTAGGCTACTGAGTAAAATGTAAGAGAAGTTCAGGGAAGACGGAGCTTTTTGCTTAAATAACGTCATTTTTCGACCCCCATTTGACCCCCCGGGGCAAAATCAAAATTCCGAAAGCTTAATGCACATCTACATGACCCCACCAACCATCTCCCAAAAGATGGTTAGGCTACTGAGTAAAATGTAGAAGGAGTTTAGGGAAGACGGGGCTTTTTAGACAAAAAATGTCATATTATGACCCCCATTTGACCCCCCAGGGCAAAATCGAAATTCCAAAACCTTACGGCACATCTACATGACCCCACCAACCATCTCCCAAAAGCTGGTTAGGCTACTGAGTAAAATGTAAGAGGTGTTCCGGGAAGACGGAGCTTTTTGCTTAAAAAACGTCATTTTTCGACCCCCATTTGACCCCCTGGGGCAAAATCAAAATTCCGAAAGCTTACTGCACATCTACATGACCCCACCAACCATCTCCCAAAAGATGGTTAGGCTACTGAGTAAAATGTAGAAGGAGTTCAGGGAAGACGGGGCTTTTTGGACAAAAAACGTCATTTTTCGACCCCCATTTGACCCCCCGGGGCAAAATCAAAATTCCAAAACCTTACTGCACATCTACATGACCCCACCAACCATCTCCCAAAAGATGATTAGGCTACTGAGTAAAATGTAAGAGAAGTTCAGGGAAGACGGAGC